AACTTTGACGTGATCGTACGCGCTGCACAAGCATGCGCGACAGCTGAATCTGAAATTTTTACCTCACGCCGTCATAGAGAATATCTCTGCAAAGTTTCAGCTTTGTACCTTGCCTGATTGGCAAAGTCGCTTCCCGCCAAAGAAATTTGCATATCTTTTTCGGAGGTCCGTAAGCGCAGTCTGGGCGCGTATGAGCGAAAATTTTAAAACGGGAGGATGACGCACGAAGTAGGAACATATACTCGAAATTTCAGCCTCCTAGCTTTCCTGGTCACTGAGATGGAATTGGATGACAAAGTTCACTCGCTTCCGAACATACACACACGCCCACACAGGCGACCTCTCGAAAATATGCGTTTTTGTTGGCTTTAGTAGCGCTATAGTGCTGCACAGCAAAAACGCATAAAAAACTATTTTTGAATGTCGTAGAATAGTATGACGCCACGGCGCAGAAACGCTGTAGAATAAGTTTGACGTCCCGGCGCAGAAACAGTGCGTCTAATAGCACTTAATTTTAACAGTCATTTATGTCCAAACCATTTCGGCGAACTAGGGTTCTTGTAGCATTTTCAGTTTTCATAGCAAAACGTCAAACATGACTTTGCTACCACCCGGGCTTGTTACCGATTGTCTTTGCCTCTTACAGAAAGCAAATACGAAAGTTTTGACTTTTTGACATCATATGGCAAATGGGGGGTTCAGTTCATCAGTGAGACAGTCAGTCTCTTTATAATTTGATGGTTCGTTTAAATAGCATATTGGCACTGAAATTTGCCAGGGAGTCAAACTCAACATCCGCCATCAGACTGCTTCTAAGCTACCCGCAAAAGGGTGGTCAACAGGTGGTTTCTGTCGAAACTTGCTATCACTCAGGCTACTTGCTGAGTGTTTACGACAATCACAGAGGACGAATACAATAGGGAATTTAACTGCAATTTCTGAAATCAAATATTTTAGGAACACTGCCGGAGGAAACGGAGTTTCATGGAGAAATCCCACACTGTCGTGATGGCGGATATCCACTCCTAGCTGCAGATGTTGGCGTTTATACTTGCGACAAAAAATGCCCGAAAGGATTCCACTGTGAATATAAGACTACGGATATTAACGCCAAAAAAGGTCGGCTTTTCCAGTGCATTTTTTCTGGAATCTCTACTAGCTCTTTAGGGAGAACACTGCATTATGATATTCTCACAATGGCTGATGAAATTTATAAATTATGTTGGGCACTACAGACAGGCGAAATCAAACGTTTTCATACTTTATTGTATTATTTTTAAACCCAGGCCGGAACGCGCCGGGCAGGCCCATGCGATCATGCGTTATTGCATCGGACTTGAAGTACTCAGGTCATTGACTGCATGAATGGCTTTGCTTTACACCTATCTTTTGCGGTCGCTAGCATAAATTACCGTAAATTTTGCAAAGTAGATGTACAATTTCCACTTAACAGTTGTTCTTTAAAAGTAACCTAGTTGCGACTAGGCTCACTAAGAAATTTTTTCGCCAAGGCTTTTAATTGAGTTACGTAAGAACCACGCATACCTCAAGCTGAATCTGAAATACTTAAACTGTACTTGGACAGTGAACATTCTCCCAAAATTTCAGCTTTTCTGATTACCGAGTTAGCGATTTTCCCGCCGAAACCTTCCCGTACGTGGGTACTCCACGTGTCTGGAAAGACGAATTTTAAATTTTTACATTGCACTTCGACAGAGAATAACCCCTTAAAATTTTAGCCTTCCAGCTCTTCTGATTACCGAATTAGTAGTTTTCCTGCAGAAACTTCCATACTCCCTTACGTGATTACCACGCATGGTTTGGGACTGAATTTGAAATATTTGAGTGGTACTTGGATAGGGGACATTCTCCCAAAATTTCAGCTTTCTAGTTTTCCTGGTACGCGAGTTAGCAATTTTCCCTCTAAACTTTCATACGCCCTTACGTGAGTACCACGCAGACATGGGAGCTGAGTTTGAAATCTTTAGCTATTACATGCACAGGGAATATCCCTACAAAATTTCAGCCCCTTTGCTCGTGTGGTTCTCGAGATCGCTTTCCCGCCAAAAAATTTGTATATTTTTTTAAAGCGTCCGTACGCGCCACCTAGGTGTTCGCGGGGGATGAACTAAAACGGGAGGGTCGCGCGTGGTATAGGCACATATCCTCAGAGTTTCAGCCTTGTAGCTTTTCTGGTTCTCGAGTTGAAAGTGGGTGGCAAATACGTCACATGCATGCACACGGATCTTACCTCACTACAACACTTTCATTTTAATGCATTTTTGTATAAATGTAAATTGTGAGTGCTGTCTGTGTGTGAGTGCTGTCTGTTTTTCTCTTCATCAGCCTGTCCTTTTTAATTTCATACTTTGCAGGGATTTGTTGCCCGAGCTTGAATGAACTGCATCGAATTTATGGCAGTGAAGATGAGAAGGTTAGCAAGAATCTCAAAAAAACCAAAAAATAAAAACTTGTGAATCAACACCGATTGACATTTTATGTACATAGTGATATTTTGTGGCTTTAAAATCGTGTGATGTTACCTGTGTGCTCGTCATCTGTTTGCCTGTTTCTTACGTAACACTAGTGTCACCATATAAAATGCATTCTCGCCTGCTGGTAAGTTATGTCAGTCAGAATTTTTCCAAAACTGAGTTGTCATATTTAAGGAACTTAATGCAAGGTGCCTGTTTGTGTGCGTGTATAAGTTGAGTAACAACCCCTCTCTCCTCTTGCCATGCCATTTTATCGCGCAATGTCATGAAGATATTCGATCACCGAGTGCTCGGGACATCTTTTGAGATTAAATAGTTCCCGTATTTAGCATTACTACTTGTAGGCTTGTTGCGGTGAACATTTGAGATAACCTGACTAACCTTAACGTACAAGACACATGCTGAGCATATGAAATAAAGGGCAGGTCTTTTTTTTTTGAGCCACAAATATGCAATTTTCGGGTTTTAGAAAAGTTGGTATGAATTCATTAAAATGATGGCCATAAGAATTTATTGGTCAGTACTTCATTCCAAAAATTATCCAGGACATTTCGATTCTCTCTGTCTCTCTCGAAGTACTGACCGGAGCTGCTTTTATGCTATTTTACAGTTCTTACAAGATCCTACGAGATTTTGCTTGTAAAATTCTAGTTTTCTGACCTTCGCAGTGGCAGACACGTACAGCACACACAGACATGATTTTACATTGATGGGCTGCCTAAAAAATGCAAAAGCATGGTTTAGGCAGCATTCCAGTGCAGCTGCTCTTGGTCAACACTTTAGTTAATTTGATAAAAAGTCACAACAATCGGAAATGCAAGGGCATTCAAACTGAATAATAACAATGTGTTTTTCAAGTAAATTAATCAACAACAAAGTATCACAATTTTAGCATTTCTGTTCCAAACAGATTTTATAGATGATCATCTTGAGAACTGGCCGACACGGGGCTGTACTCTTCTTCATACTTTCCATCTTGCTTGTCAGATATACCACATTTTGGACTCCTACAAGTTGCAGTTTGTGTGATTTAAACATTACGCTTTTTGCACAGGTCATTTGTGCAAAGACAAATCAAAATCTGTGCGGGACATCAATGTTTGTGACGGCTGCTGATCACCCTAACAGAATCATGTAGCATTCTCGTAAAATTTCATTCTTCCTGCCTGCCTGAATGCTAAGAATTGAACGACAGCATTGTTACAGTTTGAACATTTCCTATATCTGCACACTGGGCACACGTGTAAAAAAAAGTTCATTCTGCGCTTACTGACTCCCACTTAAAAAGCAAACTTCCTTAGGAAAATACTGCTTACTGCTCAGTCTAATTACGGAGCCAATTAAGTGTCAACAGTGCCTCGAAATAAACTTTCACTTGCAAGCATGTGCGAGATCTAAAACTGAAACTGAAATAGGTTGCCCATGAATGCAGAGTGCCATCGTTAAACTTCACTTTCCTGGCTAGACTGGTTAGCGAAACCGCTTTTCATTAAGAATGTCTTTTTCGAACACAAACGCACACTAAAGTTCATTTTAGGCCTTGAGGTCATGTGTGAAAAGAAAAAATTCCATTATATTCTATTAGGGCGCTCCAGTCCACAAGGCTCTCGAGTTAGCATTTTGCTAACGATATTCCGACTTTAACGTCTCAGTACTTGTAATGTTGGCGTGCATGATAGCTGAATTTGAAACCTTAAGATCACTCAAGGGTACAGAATATTTCTGTGAAATTTAAGCTTCCTATCTTGTTTGATTCCCAAATTTTTTTCCGACAAAAAATTTACATTTACGCGCCTTCTTTTCGACGTAGTGAGAACAAAGAGTACGTAGACGACAGTTTTAAGATGGGGAAATTTTACATGGTGTGGGCATTTGCTCTAAAAGTTTCAACTTGCTAGCTACTCTGGTTTACGAGCTGAAAGTAGATGATAAAATATGAATACACAGAGACAATTTCTCGATAATATGCATAAATGTATAAACAAGCAAAAACGCATAATTACACCAACGCGTAAGCGGTTCAACCAACGTTGCCAGTGCGGTCATACGTTTTGCGTAAACCTTGAAGCAATCAGATTAAGTCAATGTCTGATTCTGAGATTTCACGCGGTCCCACAAAGCGTACAAATTCCCAACCGACGTCTTTTTCTTTCTGCATGCAGGAGATGACAGAAGATATCGCTAGCATGAATAATATATTTAACTATAAAGCAACAATCATTCATACAGCTAACGATCTAACTGCTTCAAGATTAGTGCAAAAACACGCGATTGCACTGGAGGACTGTTGCGCCTTGCTACCTACGTCTGAGCACCTATAACAGCTTATTACTGAAGTACTCCAAAGATCATATGTCGGCTGTCCGACGTACAGCTCTTGGAAATGTGCTGCTGAATTTCACTTTCGACAATTCAAATATCAGCTTGTTTAACTGCATCTAAACGTAGTTGCTATGAAAGAAAAACCGCTAACTCCAGTAGTTTGATACTGTTGCTGCTGTTGGTTGCAACGTGCTGTAGCGGCATGTGCGCGGAAGGAGTCTCTGCTGCAAACATTCCCAGCGTTTCTTTAAAGAAATGCCTGTAAAATTTACAAACTCCTGATAGTTATAAGCAACAATTCGCATTTTCTGTTGAAAAATAAAAATGCCGACCGGAACTTTTCTCCTATTTTCTTTTTGATCTCACACAGAGTTGAGATATGATCTCAAATGAAAAAAAAAAAACACAAATTTCATACGACTTTCGAAAGTTTGTTTATTTTTCAGAAAAAAAGAAAGTGAAGAAAAGACTGGTATGCAAACCTTCGGAAATGCTTCGGTAGCACCACCGTCCAGAAGGTGTCTCTGTACCTGGAAAAATTCAAAATCTCACAATGACGTATTTTAACAGCCTATGTGTTAATTGTAAAAATCAATCCCTTCCTCTCCCTCTTTCCACCCAGCGCCCTTATAATTTAAATGAAAAGTAGCACTACTTTACTTTTGCGTGAGCATCATAATGAAATCGGAAATTTACTAAAAATCAGGGCAATCGTCAATATCAAATCTCTCCCGCTATATGAGCCCTTTATACTCTCCAAATGTGGAAAAAACAAGAATCGACAAACTTTAACCTAGAAGACATGATACAATAGAGGATGAAAGTGATGGATGAATTGAGCAATGAAAGCAGGTCGAGAATGTCGCCAAGGTTGAAATAAATATAAATATGCACATGAGTAGTGTAAACGGCATTCAGGATTGCAATAATTCCTTGTGGCAACTCGGCAATCAGAAATACTAATACAATAGCGAGTAGAAGGGCAGACGTACGATCCGGATTATTTCCCTGTCTGAAACATCATACTCCTTCACTATTCATAAGAAGACCTTACAGGTGTGGACGCTTCAACCTGCATTGTACTGCCCATTGAGCTGATTCGGTTTCATGCAAAAAAAATCCTAATCAACGAACCTTTTTGAGCATGTTGAGCTGCTTTTCCTCAATAGCATTTTGCGCTTCATGGTTGTTCGGTGTATTTTAAGCATGAGACCGAGTGAAAAATATAGCAACAACATACATGGAATTACCTGAATTTGTAAAACGAAGTTGCTTTAAATCAGTTAAATAAAAAATGAGAGTAGAATTTTTTTCGAGTTGTTGAAATGGTCAAAACAAAAGAACTATCACTTTTTTGGCATAAAATTCAAAATTATTATCAGAAAATCACCTCTCAGCTAAACATTTCAAACTCAAAATCCTTTTCATAACTTACTTTATAGGAAAGGCACAGAGATTTAAAAATGTCTCGCTTTACAAGACATTTTTAAATCTCTGTGCCTTTACGAGACATTTTTAAATCCGACTGCTTCCACTTAACTTACGAGTGGGAGTGCCAGTAAATCTTGCCGGTGGGCAAGATTTACTGGCACTCCCACTCGTAAGTTGAATGGAAGCAGTCGGATCATGGTGGCCCCAAAAAAATTAGTAAAAAAACGTTTCAGGAAGGCTAGAAAGCGTTTCAGTCGTAATTTATTTAAAAATGTAATTCTTTTTGGACAATAAATTACCTTAAAAATAACTCCAGACATCCATAAGTTTAATTTGAAGAATCGACATCCATTAGCTGTTGCCGACCGCGATATCTGAAGGAGAAAACATTCAAAACCGCCATCAATTAGCTGTAAAAATTTGCGAAAAAAAAAACTTTTTTGCTGGCATTATTGTTATTGTAAAAAAGAATTATCGAGCGATGACGCCTGCTTTTCACTGTTTTGAATTTTCGAAGTTGAAACTGGGTGAAAATTTCCCCGGAAAAGAGTAGCGTTCTGGCTTGTTTTGCTGAAGCTCAAGTAGGGCGGCACAAATCGGACAGAGAATTATACTACTATGACCGAACAAAAGTATGTAGCTCCTGCGCAAATCACTGAAATGTTGCGTGCGGATAAGCATGAATTTAAGAACTGAAACTATTCGATCGAAGCCGACTGATTAAAAAACAACAAACACGCTCAAATTCCCAATTAACGTTTTCTAAAGTCTAAACCCGAAGAATTTTCAACTCTTGAAGAAGTGAAAAATCTTACCAGAAAGGTATAGTATTTAGCCGTATAATTAACTGGAAAATTATGGGCGCAATGCGATGCGGGACGCCAGTCACCAATTTCCACT